ATTTTTATATTCCCCAATCCAGAAGAATAGGTATCAGGCAAGATGACATGAAAATAGAGATGCTAAAGTGGTCTTCTTTCCCCAACAGATGGCAGCCAGGTTTCTGCTGAGAAATGGGCAAGGTCCAACTTCTTTCTTGGAATTCCTGACTTCCTGCTCTCAATGAGTAAAAGCATCAGGAATGCAAGTGGTGTGACCTTTCATGAGGATCAGCGGGCATGCAGAACGGGTCTTAGGTGCAATTATGAGGCAATTCTGACTGGCTTTGGGAATCTGGCCTCCATCTGCCCTCTTGGAAGGCTTTTTATCAGGGGGTGTTCAGGATATTGGCATCTTCAATGAGCTTGTCAAAATTGCAGGAGTCATCGGTGCTGTCATTGACTCAGCTTGAAGTCTTCTGGGGAAAGCTAGGCTGCAGGGAAAGGTGGATTTTAAGCCTGTTTCCTTGAAGTACACTTTGTCATTTGGTTTGTCTTCCATTTGGATATATGGACCCCAAAACTGAATATGTAGAATTTGCTGGGGTATCCCCTGCCTAAGGATGCTAATCTAAGTAACAGGAGGAGATGGATTGGAGGTTAAGCAGCCTGTGGACAAGCCTTAACTCTGCCTGACAAGTCCCAAGTTTTCATGAAAAGTTACCTGACTTTTCTAGAATTCATGTCGTTTTTCTGTAGACACAGTATGTTTGTTATTTCATAATCTGAAGTTTTGGAATCCTTACAGATGTATTCCTTAGGTAACATTCAGGGTTACTTGTGAACTTGAGATTTTATGCAAATTTTTTACATTTATTTTATTTTATATGAATGAATGCTTTGCCTGCATGTATGGATGTGCACCCTGTGTGTGCCTGGTGCCCTTGGAAGTCAAAAGAGGGCATTGGATTCCCTGGAACTAAAGTTACAGATGACTGTAAGTCACCACTTGGGTGCTGGGAACCCTGGTCCTCTACAAGAATAAATACTCTTAACCACTGAGCTATCTCTCCAGCCCTTTACACACATATTCTCTCCTTTCCTTTTTTCTTCTCTCTCTCTCTCCCTCTCTCTCTCTCTCTCTCTCTCTCTCTCTCTCTCTCTCTCTCTCTCTCTCTCCTCTCTCCCATTCTCCCCCCTTCTTTTCTTTTGAGACAGAATCTTGCTATGTAGCCCAGACTGACTTTGAATTGTCCTGATTCTCTTTCTCGGTTTCCTGAATGCTCAGGTTAATAGCATTCTTGGATGAGTCCATTTCTGCAGTAGAATTATATAGGCATAAGACTTTACAGTAGTTATTGCCATCTATGTCATTAAAGGACTATTGTACACATCTGCTCCTGTTTTTAGGGTGAGAGTTCTAGCTGCTTTACATCTCTGCTCACACTTGATATTAGCACCATTAATTGCAGAGATGTGTTGGGTGTGACCAGATCTCTGTGTTTTAGTCTGTATTCACCTGACCTAATTTTATAGGACTGAATAAATTTTCCCTGGTGTTTGATGTCCTCTTTCATGTGTTTTTAATACCCTTTTCCATTTTCTGTTTTCTCAAATTCTGATGCCTGATTCTATAGGGCATTTTCTGTCTAGTCTGGATACTATCTCTGTTTCTTCCATTTCTCAATTACACATGTGGTACTATTATAAAAGGAGGTAAGGAAGCACCTGGGGACACTTGAGGGGCTGAAGTGGTACAATGATTCCTTTCCTCCAGTGCTTATAATCTGTGCAGTTGTGGAAAGCATTTAGAGAACAATTAGTAAGAACTGGTATACAGTAAGTACTAATTGGAGAGGTGCAGGCTGTGAGTGGATCAGTGCAAGAGTACTACAGGAGGTGTGACTTCTTCTAGGGCTTTAAGGACAAATGTAGTTAGAAGTAGAAAGGAAAGGGAAGAGCAATTCAGGAAGGATGAGCCACAAGGTCAAGAGACAGGAGGAAGTAGCATTACTAACTACTGGTTAGTGCTCTGCAGGACTTTCCAGTTGTCCCATGCAGGACTGTATCCTTTATGAGGATAGGCACCATGCCCTTCCCATTCACCTGAGCATGTCTATGTCTACCACAGTGGCTGGCATATAACCAGTGCTTGATAAATACACTTACATGTATTCAATCCCATTAATGTCCCTATAAACTTAGTAGGATATGATCAAAGCAGTGGTTAGAGACAATTAGATGAGCAAGCTGATGTTCTGAGAAAGATTTCTGCAGGAAGTGGTGGTCAATTGTAATTAGAGGGATATAATAGAGAGAGTTTGATCCATTTAAGCTTGATGTGGTGCATGGGAAAGTATAAGGTGTCACTAAGAGCTCTTAAATAGAGAGAGATAAAGAGATGAAAACAGTGTCTTGCAAAATGCAAGAGTGATTGGATAGGAACGGACTGACAATGGGAACCTGGTGAAGAGGATGTTGAAATGAAGCAGCCATTCATTTGCTTGCTCAACAAACACCTACTGAAACCATAAGAGATATCTGAGGTCAGACTCCAGGCTCATGAAGAACAGTAAGATGCTCACATTGTAAATCTTGTACTGTAAGTCTTGTACTGAGAGGGATGCTACAGCTAGCATACCCATATTAGAATTCAGGAGAACATTAGAAGCAGAAGCACAAGTGAAGACCATGGGCTGTAGGGAGCTTAGTTCTGATGGGCAGGAGGAACTTAGAAGGGTCGAAGGAAAGGTCAAAGCAGGCAGTTCTTCTAACACCCACCACCCCCACAGTCTGACCTCTTCATTACTGTACCACCTGGAGCTCCCTTGTTTATTTCTTGTTCTGCTATTTGACTCTCCCTTCCCTTACTAGAATGTAAGCTCCAAGGTAAGGAGTTCTTATTTGTTCTAGTTTCAACTATACCCTTAATGCCACACCCAATATCTGGTACTAACATAGATTTTAAAAAAAATCTTTTCAAACGTGTAGGTTGGTTGTGTGCGTGTAAGTATGCACACAAGTGTCAGGCCTGAGGAGGCCAAAAGCATTGCCCCCCCCCCCAGAGCTGGAGTTTTAGACAATTGTGAGCTGCCTAATGCGGGTTCTGGGAACTGGACTCAGGTCTTCTAAAAGAGAAGCAAGTTCCCTTTAACACTGAGTCATCTCTCCAACCCTGAACCATGCATCTTTTTAAATAAATATTTTAGGATGAATTAAGTGTCATTGGGGCTTTGTCCCATAGGAGGTAACATTTAGACATTTGGTAAAATGGGAGAGAAAAACACTAGTTTAAATATATGAAGTCTTATATGTAATGGTGAAAAGAAGATCTATCTGGAAGATGTATTTACAAAAAAAAAAAAAAAAAAAAAACCTTATCAAAAGATACTATGGTGGGTTAGAAATAAAGAGTAAAAAAGAAACAAGGCAGATGATAGTTTCAGCATTTGTGTCTTTGAAATCTGACGGGTGGAATGGGGATTGAGGGAACGGCAGAAGAAGTGAAATGAAGAGAACAATTCTATTTTATGGGGAAAGCGATGACAAATCCCAGCAGTGACAACTTATTTTTAGGGTGGGCTTAACATGTGGAGTCAGGTCCGAACAAACAGATTGAGAGCGTCAGTGTAAGAGAGAAGCTAATAATGTGGAGGTGGGGTCAAAGGAGAAAGCCTTGAAAGAGAAGGCCTCGCAATCGTGGAAACTGTAAGGGCGGTGGGGATAGACAGGTGGTGGTCAGTGCCTGGTGCCATGGAGGTTATAGGTCTTTAGGTGTGTCAAGTGGAGGGTACCCAGATAATCTATACATAAATATGTATGTGATATATTCCTTGGTATGGTACCCAAGACAATATAGAGGCATATATTTATGTGTATACACTTAGTATTATAGTCCTTACTACTTTTTATCATTTCACAGTATCTAGAAACCACAAATTAGCCATTTCCACAATGATAGGCATTTAAATTATATCTGTTCTTTGCTGTTTTTAATATGCTAGAGAATAGAGTATCCTTTTTACAGTGTCTTTTAATATGCTATAGGGTAGAAGAATCTCAATCTATAGCCCCAATTATTATTTCTTTGTTGTTGTTCTGCTAACTGAGAAACACTTAAATACTTGGCACATGTCATTGTAATTGCTCTCCTAGAAGATAACATTAGCTTACACTTCTACTCACTCGACTTGGTAATTCCTGTTTCCCCACACTTCTAACCTTATTGCTTGGGTGTTAAAAACAGATAGAAGATTGCTTTTACTAAATTGACCAAATAAATAAATAAATAAATAAATAAACAAACAAATAAATAAATAAATAACTGGCTCACACTGGCTGTCCTTCCCGAGGACCTGGGTTATGTTCCCTACATCCACACTGGGTGGATCACAGCCAGCTGTAACTCCAGCACCAGGGTATTGATGCCCTCTTCTGATCTTCCTGGGTACCTCACACACATGACATACACTCCCACTGACATGTACAGATACACACCCACATACATACACACCTTTAATCCAAGCACTCAGGAGGCAGAGGCAGTTGGATCTCTGTGAGTTTGAGGCCAGCCTGGTCTGCAAAGCTACACAGAGAAACCCTGTCTTGAAAAACAGAAAGTCTTTAAACTTGGTTCAGTGAGAGACCCTGTTCCCCCAAGTAAGGAAGTGAGCACTTGAAGAAGACATCCGATCTTGAGTTCTGATTTCTACATACACATGGACATTCTTACCCCCCCCAAAAAAAAAAGAATGGAGAGAGCTTAAAGTGTTGAAGAGAGATGGAGAAGACATATTCTTGAATTTTAGGTTTTCTAAAATATACCTCTCCTAAGAGGTATAAATTAAGTGTAAAAATATTAAGGTGTGGCAGAATGTCAAAAATAAGGGGTCTTTGGCTTACAGAAAACATATGATAACTACTCCTGGGCCATTGCTAAGCTTGAGAACATCATTTTTTTTTTTTTTAAAGTATGGAATTTGGGGAAAGAAAAAAAAAATGACACAGTAACTGATTGTGTTTGTTTCTGTCCGGTATCTCCAAGGCAAGATGGATAACAAAGAAGTGAGCCAACAACAGAAATTGATCATCAATGGATTATCAACTTTAATTCAATGTTCCCAGCAAGCCACATAGATGAACATTTAGTAATCTCACTGGGCCCCTGAGCTCTCTGACTCTGGGGACTTTCTGTTTTCACCTCCTGCTGTGGACTCCTGCACTTCCCCTCCTTCACTGGGCTCCACAGCTACCCCTAGACCACTCTGCTTCTCTCTGATAGACTGTTCCTGTCCCTCTGGGAGCCTGTCTTCTTGGATCGACAACTCTACAGCCTCCTGCACTCTGCTGCTCTGGCCTGATGCTCCCTGCTTCCCGTGATCTGGGTTGTTATCCTTACTTCCTTGCTTAGCATCTCCATGCATGTCTACCTGGCTCTGCAGATCCCCTGGTACCTGTGGTTCACTTGAATCTGAGCTGCTGTTGCCTACCTCTGGAGCCAGGCCACTGGGGGTTTCACAAGGGCCTTCATCACTCGGAGTAACTGCTAACTCAGGATCTTCCCCCTCACTGTGGTCCTCCTTCCTGGCTGGCTTGTCATGAGTCCTGGTGGCCCTGTGACTTTTTCCTTGAGGTTGCTTTTCAAGTGGGGCCAGTTCCTGTGACCTTCCTCTTGTTCCCTGTGTCTCTTTAGCTGCACGGCGCTCTTTGTTGATCAAAGATGCATCTTCTATGTCTTTCTCACGGTGTCTTGACTCTTTTCCTGATATGTGTCCCTCCTTAAGTTGAGGGAGATTCTGATGTCCTTCCTCTGAGCTTGGCCCTTTTGTACCAGAACCCTTTTTAGCCCTGTTTTCCCTCCATGACTTTGAGAACTCTTGACAGCTCTCATCCTGTGTTTGGGCTTCTGGTGCTGGGGATCCAGTTTTTTTTATGTGTTCTTTCTGCCCCTCCTCACATTTGCCTATGCTAGATGTTTCTGAATCATCTCTGCTCCCACTTTGGGCAGACGGGTTCTGTGTTTCGTGTTTTCTTTCCTGCTCTGGCAACTCTGGGGTCTCAGATGTTCTACTGTCAGCCTTGGGGTCCTCTAAATTTGTGATTTCAGATCGTGTTCTGCCAGCATCCTTTCCTGCTTCTCCAATTTCAGATATTCCGGTATCTTCCATAAGCTCAATAAACTTCTGTGTCTGAGATGGTTTCTCAGCAGCTTCTATTGGCAAATCATTGTGCTCCATTGTGGCTCTGTCTTCTTTTAGGGGGAATGGATCTTGTGATGCGGAATGTTTCTTAATTCTCTTTCCTGTAGCATGTTCCTCATCTTCAGATGGCCTCTGTGCCATATGGTCACTTACCTCGGTGTCACTTTGCCTCCTGACTACTTTGCCTCCTTCTTTGGGGATCACCTGTGTTGGACTGTTGCTCTGTTTGGTTGCTTCTACTGGCATATTTCCCTTAAATTGGACTCCATCATATTCTGTTGCTAGAACATCTTGTGCGACTTCCTGACTGTCTTCTTCTGGGTGTTGGTTTTCAGGGTCATTGGGCTCAGAAACCTTTTGTGGAAGGTTGTGTGTCTTGATGTCTTCCAATGGGCTTGTCCTTTTGTGTCCATCCACCTCACCTTCTTCAAGGCTTGGCTGAGCCGGTGATGTGATTTCTGAAGCAGACACCAGCCTTTCTTGAGTTGGTCTCACCCCTACTATTTGCTGACTCCTTCTGGTAGTCACCAGAAAGTCCACACCATCCATCTTCTCTGACTTAGACATCAGTCTTGGTTCTGGATTTAGTAGTGATATGTCAAAATAAAAGAGGTTCAATAAGCTGAAGATTGCAAAAAGGAATTCCTCAAAACTGATGGTGCCATCGCTATCAATATCCAGAAGGTTCAACTTTTTCTCCACAGCATGAAAGACCTGTGGCTGCATGTAAACAAACAAACAAACAAAAAAAGTCAGTTTATTCACATCTGGTCATGTGTCCTAAGTGCCTTCAGGTCTCCTGAGAATCTTAAGAAAAAAAAAAAAATTAACCTTATTCCTCCTAACAGTGAAATTGCTTAAACAGTGAAAACCTATCAATTCTGGATACACCCTTTTTATCTTCTGCTTAAACAGTGAAAACCTATCAATTCTGGATACCCCCCCTTTTTATCTTCGCACTAAGCTTAGCACAGTAATTGTATCACATGTAAGCTGAGTTAGAAGCCTAATGGGGTTGTGACTCCATGAAGAGGTCAGCCTCGATGAAGCAACAATCACATAATGGAAACCTCCTTTTTTTTTTTTCTGTATGACTGACTAAGTAGTTGCATAGAAGAGGCATCTGAAACTGGAAAAACAAACAAACAAACAAACAAACTGTTTAAAGGTCAGTGCATGCAGAGAGGGGCGAGCCAAGTGTAAGCAAGCCGACTGATAGCACTTCCTGCTTGGGTTCCAAGGTGGCAAAGGGGGAAGAGTAAGCTCCTCACCTGAAGGCAGTTCCCAATTTCTCCCTCAAGAAGTTGTCTCAGCTCTCTGCGGGTCAGGCTTGCCTTGTTGTCACCATCCTTGCTAGCATACTTGTGGAATGTCTCAATAACACAGAAGATACCTCTTAGCAGCTTTGACATCTTTACAAACGTGGAAGAGGCTGTAAGTAAGAACAAGGTAGGGGCTGGAGAGATGGCTCAGTGGTTAAGATCACTTGATCTTGTGGAGGATGTAGGAGGTAGTTGGATTCTGTCCCAGCACCTCATACCTGTCTGTAACTCCACGGGTCTGATACTCTTACACAGACATACATGCAGACAAAGCACTCATGCACATAAGATAAAAATAAACAGATCTTAAAAAAGAACAAGGCTCATCTGCCAGGATAGGCTCTCTAGGGAAAGCAAACCAAGGTCATCCCTCTTGCTCCTGCTTAACCCTGATACTACACCTGCTGTATTCTCTAATTCACATGTTGTATTCACATTTTGAGAGGTGATTTAGTTTTATAATGGGCATTGTGGTGAGATTAGATATAAAATAGGTAGGTAGTAGAACAGACACACAGTAACACTTGTGTGTTGAGAGAACATTTTATTTCAAGAACAGATGAAAAAAGAAAGGAAAAAAAAAAAACTCAAACCTAAGTACTAACACACAAAAATAAAGCCAGCAGGGAGAGATTAAGCCTCTGAACCCCATTTGAGAGTGTCCATCCTCATTCCTCTCACTTTGGCTCAGTCTAGCCTAGTCTACTAGAAAGAACATATAACTCTGAAGCAAATACAGGTTTTAGAAGGAAGGGAGGCCATGTTCAGAAAATCAACCCTTGTGTAACAGGTTTTTACAAACATTGTTCCATGAGGACTCTGTGACAAAACCCAATCCTGACCCTCACTCATTAGCTATTATTTAATTTAATCCACCTTTTCACCTTAATATAGATCTAGGTCTGATGCCTTATTAAATAGAACTTATGGTATGGGCTTTATAATCCTTCTTTTTGCCTGCTGCTTAACATCCTGAACATGGGTCAACCTTCCTCTGAGCTACTGGCACAGTCTCCACAGTCTCATGTATAAGCAAAGCAGCAGCAGAGGTCCTCAGCACACACAAGTCTACAAGACTTACCTACTTACCTCCTTCAGGAGTGAGAGCAAGTGGAATGTGGGGCAGCGGGCTGTGTGCCATGGCAGGCACTGGGACCTTTTTATTGAGTCTCTAATTGCTTAGAAGGAGACACCCTCTGGGTCTAATGACCTGATTCATCACCACCAAACCCAGTCTCTCCTCTGCCTTCAGCTCTCCCTGCTGTTGCTTCCTCTTAAGTCATCACATTCATCAAAAAGAAGTGGAAAGATCTCCTTTCCACCTACTACTGACTTTTGTAGGTTATAATTTTAAAGTATTTTTAGGGGTTCAAGGTGCCGGACTTCAGACTTCTTATTTTCATTTATTCTTTCTGTTGTTAACCTGAGTACTTAATTATATTTCTGGTTGACAAATCACAGGACTGGCAGGGGCCTCTGAAGTCATCTGATTCCTCCCTCTGCCTGCAGTTTGGCCTCTGTTTGACCCAACCTTGAGAAAGGGATGTCAGTCATGTATTTAAAATAAAGCCCTGCTTAATCATGGGACAAGGTTGGAGATACTGGTTGATTCAGCTGTTTTCATGTTCTTCTCTCCATGCCCAAAGGCCAAGTTAGAAAAAAAACAAAACAAAACAAAACTAATCTCTTGTTAGATATGCAAAACCTTGCTTGCCTAAGAGGGTGCTATTTTTAAAATATGATTGACAGCTGCCTTGAGAGGGCATTTTCATAATTTATGGAGCTCATACATGAGCATCCAGATGATGGCTTTCTCTCTGGATTGGGGAGAGGTAAGCCATGGAAGCTGAGGTAGGTACAGAAGTATGTCTACGGTGCTCATTGGGAAGACTTTTTATTGCCATACAGATTTGGGTCACTTTTAGAGATTATATAATTCAGAATACAATATTCTGGTATCTTCTTAGCAAGAAGTATGTTTTAAGATATCTTTGCCTCTTCTGTCAAAGGACATAAGATGTGGATCAACCAATAGACACAAGAGTAAAAGACAACAGTGAAGCCCATGAAAAGATGACGAAGGGAAAGAAAGTGAGAAAACAGGCTGAAGAAGGACTTGTTGCTCAGCAAGACCCTTGTTCTGGCTTTCCTAACAAATTAACTGGGGGTTGGGGAAACTCCACCCAGATAGCTTCTATCTTGAAACAATTTCCCAGCACACCCCTCCCCACAAAGAAGCCCTGCTACTGAAAGTTAGGGTCAGCATGCAATCAGTTTGATTTTGATTAGTTAACGTTCTGTCTATACAAACTATTTTTCAAACTTTGTGTCAGGGGATGGTTTTTTTAGTATTGAACAGGTTGTGTGCCCTTGCTTTCGAGTGCAAAGTTCAATCTCATGAGAAGTAGTTGAAGGAAACTTTGTACATGGCTCAACTGGAAGGACAGATTCAGGGGACATAAAAATAACTGTCTTCCAAGTAGCAGCCATATGCATGGGTGTGGAAGAGAAAGAAATGCTCATGATGTATCAGGTGATTTGCATGGGTTATCTTAAGCCTCATAGTACTTGTACATAGTTATTATCTTCTTAATAGATGGAGAAGTTAAGGCTCTTAACTATTGAGCAATTCGTGTGTTGACATGTAACTAGTAAATGGAAATGTCAAAATTCAGAATCTAAATGTCTCCATAACGTAAGTGTTGCGTGATACTTTGATCAAATTCTGAGAGTAATTTCTTTTTTATCAGAAGGCGGAGCTAGCTACTAGCTGACCAAAATTAATCATAGAGGTTTTGGAAGACTGAGAACAGATAGATAGGAAGTAGTAAGGCTGTGCTTAGGCTGACCTCAGCCCTTTTGGATGGAGGAAGGGAAGAGATGGGAGGTCACTGGTTGCTTCTCCACCACTTCTCTGGTAATTCAGATTCTTACCCTGATATCTGACTCCCAATTTTTTATTGATAAAGAATAATTAGATAAGCACAACACATATATCTCCAAGACCAGACATAATCTACCTATTAACTCAATCTCTCTATGATGTGTATTATAGAGACTGATTGTGGCTGAAAGATTATAGATTACATGGTTGAAACTTCCTAGAAACCAGACTCTAGTTCTTCTGAAGAATTTTCTAATGAGTAGAGTTGTCTTCACTGAGAAATGCCTCTCCTAAGGTATGAGTTCTCTGTTTATGGATTTGTTCCCAGAGAGGCTGCATTGTTAGGTTATAGGGGGGCCCTGCCATAGGAAAAGTAAGTAATTTATGAGGAAACACAAGACACCATGTTCAGCATTCAACATTTTAGTTAGCTTGAGGACAATACCAAAAGCCGCCTTCTGCTGATGAGGTGTCAAGTCCAAAGACCAAATTGTATTCGTATTATTTACTATTGCATGACATTGTGCCCTGGCCAGATATCTTTTATTTTGTTTACTTTAACACTTACTTATGTACATTTGTGTTTTTATGGACAAACATGCATGTGCATACAGAAGCCAAAAGAGCAGAGCGTTGGGTCCCCTGGAGCTACAGTTGTGAGCTGCCTGATGTGGGTGGGTGTTGGAAGTGGGCTTTGGTCCTCTGCCAGAGCTGCAAACTCTTCTAGCCCCTGAGCTAGCCTCCCAGCTCTTTCTGATTTAAATGTCTATGGTTTTGTATTCTTGCTCCTATTAAGAAAGGCAAGGCTGCCTTTTGCCTTATCTCTGAAGACAGTGAGAGAAGGATCACAATCCTTTATACAGACACTTCATTGCCCCAGTGTTTACTGAAAGCCATGTTATTAATTAATAATCGCACTCTCAGTGAGAGGTGACTTAGAGAGTGCTGGCAGACCAGGAAGGGGGCTGATTTTGTGTTTAAGTCTTTAGACTGTACTACAATAATCCACTGATACCTTATGATGACCAAAAAGAAAAGCCTGGTGACCCCTTCCTGTCTTAAACAGATCTCTGGAATCATTCCTAGGTAATGTTCTTACCACTCTAATTTTATTTAAGTATGACATAGAAATGAGAAGGGGTGAGTGTAAGCAGAGGGAGATTGAAGGTGGGGGGAGGGGGAGGAGGGAGAAGGGGAGGAAGCCTGAGAACACTATTTCTCTTGAAAGGTCACCACTGGAGTGTTGAATAAAATTATCAAATAAAACATATATGATAGCTACTTTGGAAAGAATGCCCAATAAAATAATATTTAATGATTATAATAATAGAAAGTTTGGCAATAAGTGAAGATCTCAGCTTGTGTTTATATTTTCACAGCCTTATTTTATTTATTCTAAATGTAATAGAAGTTAATTTAAGATTATGGTAGACTAAACTAATACATATTCTTAAAAATGTTTTTATAATGATATTTATTCTGTTTCCCTCTCTCTCACCCCATCGTGTGTGTGTGTGTGTGTGTGTGTGTGTGTGTGTGTGTGTGTGTGTATGTGTGTATTCTGGGGCTCAAACTCAAATCGTCAGGCTTGACAGAAAGAACCTGTACTCACTGAGCCAGCTCAACATCTCAACAATATATGTTCTTTATGTCCTGCCCAGAATTCTTCTCTAAAATAAAAGTATTAATAAAAACGCTTTCATATTAAATTAAAAAATTTAAAATACAAAAATGTATAAAATAAAAATTAAGCTAAATAAAAAATAAATCAGTTATGACAAAATTAGGGGAGAATCATAACTGAGTGAGAGATTTCAATATAAAGGTAGGAAATGGAAAGTGAGTGTGTGGTGGTCCATGACTGCAATGGTGGAGAAGGCCCAGTAGGATGTGTTCTGCGGATGTTGCAAAAGTGAAGATAGGTCTTTCCATTAGAATATGAAGAAGACAGCTAAGCACTGAGACAAACTCCTGGGACCAGTTGTAGAGAGGGAGGAGCAATGAGCAAAGGGGTCAAGACCATGCTGGGGAAACCCACAGAAACAGCTGACCTGAGCAAGTGGGAATTCATGGATCCCAGTTTGACAGCTGGGGAACCAGCATAAGACTGAACCAGGCCCACTGAACTTGGGTGTCAGTTGGGGGGGGTCTGGGCAGTCTATGGGTAGTATTTATCCTTAGTGTACTATTGGGCTTTGGGAGCCCATTCTCTATGGAAGGATACTCTCTCAGCCTAGATCCCAGGCGAGGGCCTAGGTCTTGCCCAAAATTATGTGATAGTCTTTGATGATTCCCCCATGAGAGGCCTCACCCTCCTTGAGGAGTTGGAGGGTGGGGTGGGATGGGGCGTTGGTGGGGGAATGGGATGATGGGAGAGGGAACTGGTTTGGTATGTAAAATAAGATTGTTTTTAATTTAATTAAAAATTAATTAAGAAAGAAGAATATGAAGAATAATATGCTGAATTCAGATTTAGGAGACAAGGTGGACACAAATGAGAATTAAGGCTGTAAACAGGCTTGTGTAAGGGACATTTCTAAGTGGTCATTCTCCATCTTCCTCCTCCATTTTATTTTATTGTGGAAGGGTGTGGAATATATTAAATGTACACTTGTTAGTTTTGCCAAAAAGTGATATTTTGGGTTTTTTTCTTTTTTTTCTTTTTTTAAGAATGTTTTGTATGAGTATTGTAGTGACATCATTCCCCTCCCTCTTCTATTTTTAAGCACACACCACAGATTTGTGGGCATTTACTGTCTAACCTCCTTGGTAAAATGTTTTCCTAGTAAATTGTTAACTGGATCATCTCAGAAGGAATTAGACATCTTCTAGAAATGTTAAATGTGAGCATTTTGTGTTCATCAGTTCTATCTTCCCAGTTGCATTTGAATTGCCTGGAAGAAGAGTTTAGTTACAGATTCATATGGCAATTAGTTCTTCTAGAACATTGGGGAAGAAAGCCCACTTTGTTGGAATTAGACAGTCTGGGTTAGAAAGCAGCCTCTACCACTTACAGTTCACTCATCATGAGTGTTTATGTTTTATTCTGCACATTTGTTCTTCCGTCTTGTTTTCGTTCCAAATTTTCCACTAGAAAAATGCTTCAATATGTATGCAATAGTCTGTCCTAGGAATGGATTTGTGATAGTTCACATTATTACCTATTTGGCAATATTTTGATGGTTTCCAGGTTTTTATTATTATAAACCATGACATAAGGCTTATCTGGTGGGCAAATCTTTGTACACATCAC